CGCCTGTAGCGTCGATCAATACCATTCCGAGCTCTTCGAGTGTTTCTCGTCCCAGAAGTGTTGGAGAGTCGATTGTGCCTTTGATAATAACGAGTGTTGTGCAAACTGTTCGTGTTTGGTTCGTTATTATGACGTTTGCTTCTTCAAGTACGGGTAGATCTTCTTTGAGAGCTTTGAGTTTGACCTTTGAAGGCTTGAGTGTTACTTCCGGTGCGTGTTGTTGTAGTTTCGTAAATTGGTTTTCATCCATAATATTGGCATCTGATCCAGTGTCGGGTTCCGTTTGAATATTTATGCCATTGATTTGCACTATGTTTTTCCGCTGTTGTTGTGCTGACTTATGTGGTGAATGTTCAGGTGTTCCATGAAGCATGCCTCGTCGCTATCGTAGCTGTCATCGCTTTGGTGTTCTCGATTGTTGTTGCGTAAGCAGTTATCTTCGATGTGCCTTGCTCGTGCTTGTCTTTGTGGAGTCGTATCATGTTTCATCGCGTCGTTTCTTTGGTCGCGATAGTGTGGACTTCTTGGTTGTTCCGGCGTTGGTTATTTTCTTGGACTTGTTGTTTTTGCGGTTTTCCGAGACGTACACGCGCCCAGTGGTTGACTTTTCCAAAGTTCTTGCACGTGGCACCTATTGCTGGGCATGTTTCGTTCCTTTGATGTCGACGTGAACTGCCACATCTGAGACATGATGACCTTTGGCTACCTTGGGTTTTCGGTCGCTTTGTTTCAATTTTCTTGATTCTTTCGCTGTTTCTTTCAGAGTCAAGTTGCTTGCTAATTGCACCGACTTGTTCTGTCGTTTGTTCATCAAATGCAGTTTCTGTTAGTATCTTGCTCAATGTGAGGTTGTCTTTGATGGCTTTTGTTCTGATTTTGTTGTTGTTCATTGTCCTAATTAAGTGGTCTTGATTAGCGTCGTCCTCGTGGGAACCGTAGTCACATTTCTTCACTATGTCTCTTATGTTAGCGTAGTATTCTGCTAATGTTTTGTTGGTTGTTTCATTTGGCTCATCTGAAATCGCGCGAAGTCCTTGTTTTTCTTTGGCATAAAATGTCCGTCGAGTTTCCTGATGAGGACTTTGTAGACATCATCGTCAGGCTGGCTCTCTGGGTCTGTTAGCGCTTCGTTGATGTCTACGAGGTCCCCTCCTCCGTAGATTAGTAATCCGTCCTTTGTATCGGCATCGCTGATTCCGAAGAAACGAAACTGTCTCTACTACTGTATGTTGCTTGCGTTCTTTATTGATCTACTTCGCAGTATCGTTTACAATCATGTATCTAACTATATGTTGGGTGTGACGTAATAGAATATATTAGATTACGACATCTTGAGCACAGTTTCAGGGTGCGTCTAAGTAGCCCAAGTGTCATGCTGGCTTTGGAGGTGATCTTGGTGCAATGATCCCCCAGGGGAGCGATTCATTGCACTTAATCCCGAAATGGATGGGGGGACCTGTGGTAGGGCAGGGGTAGGACGTAGTTTATACATTCAGATGGCTTGCGCTTGTTAGTAACACGAAGGAGATGACTTTTTTATGTTGTAGCTCATCTGCCAAGTTAATGTCCAAGCCATCAAGCTCTTCAAGTCAGCCTAGGCTGTAGTGCATAGTGGTCTTGTTCCGTGTTTATTTCGCGATACACCACTATGTCATTGGCAAAAAGGCGAAGCTTGGAATTTGATGACTCGACGATGTCATTAATGAACAGTAGGAAGAGGGTAGGGGGCCCAATACGGAGCCCTGCGGGACCCCTGAGGTGACGCGACACGTGGCAAAGTGCGAGCCACATTCAGTTACAAATTGTGAATGGTTGTGATTCCAAGTCAGAGTATTCCCCTTTATACCATAGCAGCTCAGTTTGTGGATGAGGTTTGGACAGGAGACCTTATCGAAAGCCTTGCTAAAGTTAAGCTGTAAGGCATTGACTTGACCGTGTTGGTTTAATACGGTAGTCCAATCATGGAAAACTCACTACCAGCATCCATCAAGAACAGTGAAAGTCTGACATCTTATAAATCTAAACTTAAGACTCATTTATTTCAAAAAGTTTTAAAAACCAGATAACAGCAGTAATTTAATTATTTATTTCTAATTTATTTCTTGTTGTAAGAGCATCGAGCTTTGAGGATGCCCCTAGAACATTTTATTATTATTTTATTATTCAAGGTTAACACTAATAGTCTCCGTCACGGTTACCTGCGCCATCTTGAAAGGTAGCCGTGCCTTTACATCGAAGCGAGACAACCGTTGAGCGTGCAATGATAGAAACCTGTGAATAATTGTCTATAGGTGTGAGAGAAGGTTTCTATCATTGCACACTCAACGGTTGTCTCGCTTCGATGCAAAGACACGGCTACCTTTCAAGATGGTGCAGGTAACCGTGAAGGAGACTATTGTGTCTCACACATGACAGACCTTGTCGAAAACCGTGCTCTGCATTGGACAACATATTGAACCTAGTTAGATGTTTGTTCAGGTGGCTCAGGAAATTGTGTTCCATTGTCTTGCAACAAAGACAAGTCAGAGAAATTTGGCGATAGTTCGAGGGGTCGGTCTTATTTGACTTCTTTGACGGGTTCAACCATCGCTTTTAACCAGTCATTGGGTAGAGCACCGTTGTTGTAGCTCTGCTGGAAAATGGCTGTTAACATCCCAGAGACCTCCTTCGATAACTCTTTTAGACAACGTTGGGAGATGCCATCAGGTCCAGCTGACTTAGATGGATTAAGTTGAGCTAGGAGTTTCTTCACACCAGACTGGAAAAATTCAATTTCACTGATGTCTTCAATGTTGCTAACACAGGGGTTACTGGTAGGAAGGATATCATTATCTTGGGTAAAAATACTCTGGAAGAAGGTGTTCAGTACCTCTGCCTTGTCACTATCAGAGATGTACACAGAATCTCCAGAGTACAGCGTTGGTATGCCTATGTTTTCACACCTTGCCTGTTTCACGTAGCTCCAAAACTTCTTTGGATTTACGTGTAAGCTCCCGCCAGTAACTGAGTCAAGGTAGTTGCTATGGGCTGCTTTAACTAGATTTACCACCTTGTTTCTTTGATGAAGGTAATGCATCCAAACAGCAGAAAGTTTGTCACAGCTGCTCATTTGCCTTTTTGAAAAGACGGTCCTTCTTGCGCATTTGGCACTTAATCGAGTGTGAGATCAACGGAAGAGAAGGTCTTGCGTGAGTCATCTTCCAGGGTACATGCTTGTCAATTCCATCGATAAGGATGTTCTTGAACCAGTTTTCCTCGAGTTTGTTGTGAGTACACTGGTCAAGAAACTCTGTAGCCTGACTTGCGGAGAGATTCCATATCAGACGTCGATGTCAAATATGACAATGTCATGGTCACTCAAGCTCTCCTTAACCTGGATATATGAGACCAGGGAGGGTACAGAGGATAGAACACAGTCCAAGGTCTTCAGAGACGCTGATCTGGTGGGAACAGTAATGTACTGCATAAGGGCGTAGTCTCTGATCATGTCCAATAACTTGTGCATTAGTGATGTGTTGGTGTGGGAAGTGACTTCTGGAGGGTCGCATTTTCGCCACAATTAAAATCACTGCTGACCACTATGTTGGGATGAGATTTCTTGTTCGAATGAAATACCTTGAAAGGGTGGAAGGAGAGTCAGGCGTTCTATAAAAGGAGCAGATGTGTAGTGTTTTGGTTTTAGCAAGCTGTATTGACGTCTATAATGATTCGTTCTCTGAATTGGTTGTAAGACCTTGGCGCTCCAAGGCTGAAATACAAGACTTGACCACAATAAATTATCCACCTCCCCCTATGTCGCGCCTCTCTTTCCTGAAGACGGTATATTCTACCGGGAACGAGGAATATGTTGGGTCATGGGGCTGAGTTTTGACTCACAACCAAAGATGACGTTGGGGTCGTGAGTAGCAATAACTCTGGCTAAAACCGCAGACCGATCAGAACTCTGGATGCTGTTACAATTGACCTCCAGTTGGGCGGAGCATTCCGTAGGGGTGTACTAGATCTTACATGACCTGGAGAAAATTCAAAGGTCTCTGAAGACGACATTTCCAGGCCACCACCAGGTAAGCACTCGTTGGAAACCAGACTTCTAAGTGCTGCGAAACTGTTCTGACCAGTATGCAAAGATCCTCAAGAACTCGTAGAGACATTTTGGAGACAGACACAAGCCTCAAATCCATGTTAAATTCGGATTGTGACTATATCGAAGATATGAATCGTACTACATGGAAAAACACTTGGCACAAGTCCACTGACCACACTCATTGCAGCAAATCGTTTGGAAGGACAACTAAGACACCAACACTAGAATGACAAACAAGATACCAATACTAGAATGACAACCAAGACACCAATACTAGAATGACAACCAAGACACCAATACTAGAAGGACAAACAAGATACCAATACTAGAATGACAACCAAGACACCAATACTAGAATGACAACCAAGACACCAATACTAGAATGACAACCAAGACACCAATACTAGAATGACAACCAAGACACCAATACTAGAATGACAACCAAGACACCAATGNAGTCTCTAAATCTTGTTGGTGTTTTTCGCAGTCTTGTAGGTCGAACAATCACAGTATCTTTAATGTTGCTCTGAGCAATTGACTCGTTKGYTWCCGACTCAYTAGGTGTAGCATTTTCAATTGAGCTRGTYTGACTTGGTGTAGAATGTTSATCATGTGCATAATGATCTACTTTGCTTTCAGATTGTGTCTCRGGYATTTCATCACAGTTACGTTCMTCCTCCTTGTTTTGTTCMAGTGACTTTGGTTCGTTGAAGATCTTTACATGTGACGAATTTCTCTTATACTGTGCTCCACTCGGYGACTGAACGGTAACACTACTTCCAGCTTTGGAAACCACTTGATATGGCTGTGGATCAAATGGCGGAGTCATCTTGTTGAGAGATTTCTGCTTTAGCAGGACTGAGTCTCCTTCTTTGATGTCGCTTGTCTTAGCTTGACGCTTCTTGTCGATGTARAGCTTCCCTYTYTCCTTTGCTTCGCTGTCTCTGTCTTTGACTWCCAGGTCCTCCACTGTATTCTCCTCAAGTCCAGGTAGACGGGTGCGCAATTTGCGACCAAATAGTAGTTCTGCGGGACTAACACCTGTTGTACTGTGGGGTGTGGTCCTGTACATGGTAAGGTAGGCACCTAGTTCCTCTTTCCAGTCTTTRTTCTCTATTTGTGCAATYCTGATGCGCTTTARTAAGGAACGGTTCTGACGCTCTATTTCTCCGTTGGCTTGCGGCCATAGCGGTGTAGTGTGGCGATGATGAATTCCTTCATTTTCCATGAACTTCCTGAATCCGTCGCTGATAAAYTGTGGACCGTTGTCTGTTGTAATACTTATGGGTAGTCCATGCGTTAGGAACATTCGCTTGAGACTGGCAATTATCTTGTCTGTTGTCGTCGATTTCATTAGTTGTATCTCTATATATCGACTATAGTAGTCCACTACAGCAAATACATGATCACCTGATGGCAAACAAGGTGTCATGAGATCTATTGCTAAGTATTGCCATGGTCCATTGGGTAGCTCTGTTATCTTGGCCGGTTCCGGTGGGTTAGGAGCTCCAACTACTTGGCATGGATGACATGTCTTGCATGCCTCCTCAACCCCTTTGTCCAGGCCAGGCCACCATACCTTTGTTCTCAGCCGACGCTTCATAGTTACTATTCCTGGGTGTCCTTCATGAGCAATCTGGAGTACTTTTTCTCTCAAGCTCTCAGGGATGATGATTCTTGTTCCTCTTAGTACAAGTTTTCCGATGACTGATATCTCATTCTTTATCAGCAAATACCTTTTGTTTTGCAGATTGTTCCATTTGTTCTCTCTGTAACACTTTCTCAAATTAGATAACTCTGGATCAACAGCGGATGCTTCTTCTAATTCTCTAGTAGACATGGCTTTGGGTGTGGCGCTTTCTGCAACATAACGTACATACTCCTCTGTCTGGCTCAGTGGTTTTGGAGGTGAGACGTGAGAGTGAATCAGCAATATTCGTCTTGCCTGGAATGTGTTTCACAACAAAACTGTAGGGTTGCAATCTCAGTACCCATCTGTTCACTCTAGCACTAGCGTGTGACTTCCTAGAGTAAATAAACTCCAAAGGCTTGTGGTCAGTGAGCAATTCAAAGTCAATTAAGGTTTTCCTAGGACTCTTTAGAGTCTGAAGTAAAACCAAAGTTATACAAGGAGGCAAGTTAGATATCACAAGGTGTTGATCTTCAATACGAGACTGAATCGCAAACTTTAAAGAGAAACCATTGCAACGCAAATGGCGCGAAAAAACAACCAATCGCTTGATCCCTTAGATCAGCCAATCACTGACCAGCATGAGACCCTGACCTTCGCCACGAGGGAATACATAATCAGATCGAAAATTTTGCATCCCCACAAAAAATGTATATGGACTGAATACTAATAGAAAAGCAGGATAAATGCAAAACATAACAGCAAAGTGAATATTTATTCACAAAACAATTCCTAATACAAMGTTTCATCTATTCCTTCCCTGAGATAATGAATAATTTCGAAATAATTTGCACATCAAGTGTTGCTATTACAAATTGTTGTTACTCTAATAAACATATGAAAGTCCTCCAAGACTGAGAAAGAATATTCAAACAAATAAAACAGTAATACAATCTGTCCTTCTGTAGAGGCCACAATTAAACATGAAAGTGCAGCTTACAATGGTCAATCAGTACTATGATTGTTTCCAGTTGTGCTTGAATCTAAGATAAAGATAATCAGACTTAGAGAAATGCCCTGTAATCCTCCTAGCTAATTCGAGGAATAAAATGGGAAGGGAGGGAAGGGCTTGTGATATCTAACTTGCCTCCTTGTATAACTTTGGTTTTACTTCAGACTCTAAAGAGTCCTAGGAAAACCCTTAATTATACTTCGGAGTCAAGTTAGATATCACAAGGTGACTTTAAAGTATACCTTTTATTCCGAGAGCACCTCGCCCAAAGGCTATTGAGGATGGTCTATAATAGAACTTAGAAAACGTGGACTCAGAAGACCAATCTGCAGTTTCTAGGATTAAGTCTAAGGGGACACCAGCTTCTCTAGCTGCAGAGGTTGAGGCACCTCTTATTGAATGAGCCTTGAAAACAGAGGTGTCTATCCCTGCGTCAGATAGCAAGCATTTTGCCCATCTAGCAAGCGTTGTTGAACAAATGTGTTTATGGGGTTTCTGGTA